TCGGTTCTCAGTTAATTACGGTGCGTAGTGAATTAATAATTATTTCGGTAGCCTAACTATTCTCGGTGGCCCGGTCTTATCGTTCAGTAATATATACATAGCGTCTTTATAACCTTCCTATAGCCGTAAGGCCAATTTATTTATGGCCGTCGTCTAGTTCTAGCTCGATATATCGGAATTATCCTAAGAGACCTATTTAATATATTATCGCAATAGCGTAGCGGGCCGCGCGTGGGTGGGACACAATAGTATCGTAGTTTATAGTGTTACTAAGGTCGGTGCGAGCGACCTTATTAAGTATAATTCTTCGCAGATCACTATATAGCGGGCATTAGAGTAAGATATATCTTGGCGTTTGAGATCCTTACTCGCAATAATAGCGGTCTGATTCCCTTCTTTAATTTCGTATAAGAAGTGACCTAGTCCAATACGTATCGACCTTATTTAGATAAGGATAGATACGTATAGCTTTGATAGCCCCTCGTATAGCTCCAAGACCTTCCGCGTTAGCGCCTTAATAAGGCACTTCGTCGGCCGGCCTATCTTCTCCCTCTCCTATTATTTCTTCTATCTCTCCTTAATGCGCTTACGGGTGTTACGCTTCGCCGCGGAGGCCAGGCGGACAAAGTGTTTCTCCGAAGCTGCACCCGCACGATACCAGCAGTTTTTTGAAAATGAACCCTACCGACGCGATATATAGCGGAGATAGGGTTCGAGAAAATAAGGCTCCTAATTGCTATTTATTAAATTCTATATTAAGGCGATAAAGATAAAATATAAGGAATAGTAATCGAAAAAAAGGGAGATAGGCGTAATAAGAAATACATAGGGTCGGGTTAGTCTAAAATACATATGGTCGGGTTAGGTCGGGTTGGTCCAAAATGTATAGGGTCGGGTTAGTCCAAAATGCACCGGGTCGGGTTGGTCCAAAATGCATAGGGTTGGGTTGGTCCGAAATGCACAGGGTCGGGTTAGTCCAAAATGCAGGTCTGACCTTGTGCATTTTCGACCAAGCCGATCCTATGCATTTCGGACCATATCCCCTTTGGGAATTTCGGACTAAACGCTAACCTCTTTCGGAATTTTGGACCATCCATACCCGCTCAAGGAGAGCATATTTAAACCCCCCTATAAAATTCAATAAAATAGATAAAAATATTCTGATTTAATATATAATATCTGAAGCACTTTTACTTTTAGGGAAAAATATAATATAACCTAGTTTCGCTTATATAAGCGTATCGTTTGTGCCGGTTTTTGCCTACTAGATTACTATTTATCAAATTCTATATTAAGGCGATAATAATAAGATATAAGGAATAGTAATCGAAAAAAAGGGAGATAGGCGTAATAAGAAATACATAGAGTCGGGTTAGTCCAAAATACATATTATGGTCGGGTTAGGTCGGGTTAGTCCAAAATACACTAGATCGGGTTAGTCCAAAATGTATAGGGTCGGGTTAGTCCGAAATGCATAGGGTCGGGGTGGTCCAAAATGTAGGTCTGACCTTATGTATTTTCGACTAAGCCGATCCTATATATTTCGGACTATATTCCCTTTGGGAATTTCGGAACCAAACGCTAACCTCTTTCGGAATTTTGGACCATCCATACCCGCTCAAGGAGAGCAACTTTAAACCCCCCCTATAAAATTCAATAAAATAGATAAAAATATTCTGATTTAATATATAATATCTGAAGCACTTTTACTTGTAGGGAAAAATATAATATAATCTAGTTTCGCTTATATAAGCGTATCGTTTGTGCCGGTTTTTGCCTACTAGATCTAGATATCATGGAGGCTGAGGCAAGGATGCGGTGAAGTGGGGCAGTATCCCAATTCAATGCGAACACACCCATTAATGGGTGAGAGGTCCTCGGCTAACACCCACTCGCGGATAGGGGTTCGTCACGCGTCACCCGCATACCCGTATAACTCCTAGTACGGGTGACCCGCGACTCATCCGCATATGTATAACTAACCAAATTGAGAGTCCCAAATTGGGACGTGCCAAGATTCATAGAATTGCTAATTCATTCTAAAATACTGTTATTTATATTTACAGCTGTTTTGGGCACTTGCATGACTGCAGAAACTATTCGACTATATCCTTACCGAAATTTAGAGAAATACCTTAGTATAGCAATAGGTCTAAGCTAATAATAGTAAATTTGGCTAGAATGACCAGGATTCAATATCACTGTAGTGGGTGGGGATGTGGTGATGCTTTGCCAATCGATTTCAATACTCGCAAAAGTCAGCGGATCGTGTGGTTAGACAGCCGATTTTTGGCCCTCTGGTTTTGTGCAGTTCCTTCCTTTTTTGCGCCCTATGTTTTGCGCCCTCTGGCCTTGGGCCTTGGGCTTCTAGGGAGAAAAAAAAGGTTGCTTTTCCACCGGTCACCGTTCTGCTCTTCGCGTTGATCTTTACCTGTTTTTCGCTGCTTTTGTTCATCGCTATTGACCATCGATTTTACGCCTCCTTCCTAACAACTCCCTGTGTAGAGGACGGTGTTTAACCCGTAGATTGCCATTAATCAACCCATTATTCATTTTCCCGATAGGTTGCCCTTAGGTACAGCCGCTATGCTGGGGTGCTATCAGGCCTGCCTGACCGCCGAGAAATGACTCCCAGAACCCTCTGTAATCCCAAGTGCCTGGACAAGCCGAAACACGTAAAAATGATGCCAAAGGAGAAACACCTAACTAATTAACTATGGCGTAACCGCGCTTTGGCCTATGTACTCCTCACACTATCGAGAAACCCCTTGTTCACGCTCAAAAGACATCGTTAACGATTGGCTTGCGGGGAGTCCGACTCAACGTGGAGCCGGTCCTAATTCTCCAATCACCGTGCTTCGTTCGAGTATTCTTGCAAATTATAGCGTACAGCCATTATATGGAGAACGAAAACCCACGTGGACGACGTCCGGAAATTCCGCGGTGTCCTTTCCAATAAACAGTAAAAGTTGACTACATATTCAGTGTCGCGAGCTGTACGTTTCAGGACATAGAGGCTCATCCACTACTCACTACTGTTACTCCTGTACGCATAGATCCTGGAGATGAATACTGTTATAGTTGGGGCTGGGCTTGGTGGACTTGGTGCTGCCCTGGCCATCAAAACTGCTGCGCCTTCACACAATGTCCTTGTACTCGAGTCCGCTTCAGAATTGGCAGAAGTAGGTAGACTCTATTCTCAATCAGGAAGATCTCATCGCAAATGACTGACACAACAAATTACTCATCAGATAGGAGCTGGCCTTCAACTCACCCCGAATGCGACTAGACTCCTGCTCCGTTGGGGCCTAGGAGACAGGCTTGAAAAGGTCGCGACAAATCCAGAGGTTTTCACTATTCTACCCTACAAGGGAGACAAGTTGCTTGGTAGATGCAATGGCTTTGGGAATGAGATGATTCGGAAGTATGAAGCGCCATTCTGGGACATGCACCGTGCGGACCTGCAGCTGGCCATGTTTGAACGTGCTCAAGAGCTTGGTGTCAGATTCAGGTTTGGCGCAACAGTTACCAATTATGATTTTGAGGGCTCAAAGGTCTCACTTTTCAACGGTGACGAAGTGTCGGGAGATTTGATTGTCGCCGCCGATGGTGAGTTTATTCCCACGGAAAATGCGACCGGGTGGAATATCTGGTCGGGTTGCTAATGGATCATAGGCCTGTGGTCGAGAGCCCGCTCCCAATTCTTGAAGAACAATGAAGCGCCGCTGCCCACGGGTGATTTAGCTTATCGTATTGTATTGAATACCGACATGATTGAGGATGAAGATTTGAGAGAGTTCGTCTCGAAACCTAGAGTGCATCTTTGGGTCGGGCCCGACTGTCATGTTATTTACTACCCACTGCGCAACAACACGATGATTAATATCGTGCTTCTTGTTCCCGACGACCTTCCTGAGAATGTATCCAAAGCTCCTGGCGATATTGGTGAAATGAAGGAACTTTTTCGTGACTGGGATCCACTGTGAGCCCCTTGGCGGAACAGCAATTAACAACTCAGCACTGATGGTCTTGCCGGGCAGTCTACAGCGCTTCTTATCACTTGTTCCTGAAGTTCAAAAGTGGCGTTTGATGGACAGTGAGCCTTCCCTCTTTTTTGGATCCTAACAACCCGACCTATTAGCCTGACTGGAAATTGCAGACACTGAAATGGATTCGTGGTACAATGAGAAAGGAACGATTGCCTTTCTGGGCGACGCTTGGTTGGTCTTGCACTGCGTTGTCCCCGTACCTGAAATAGACTCTGACCGAGCCACAGTCATCCAATGTTGCCTTACATGGCGCAAGGAGCCAACTCAGCCCTAGAGGATGCAGCAGTCCTCGGCACCCTCATTGCCAACGCACATGACAAATCAGATCTCCCAGCTCTCCTCCAAACATACCAGACTCTGCGGAAACCGCGCTCCTTGGCAATGGTGAAAGGGAGCCTCAGGCAGGTAAGTACATACCAGATTGAACGCAGCAGGGCCGTTAATTAGAATATCTAGCGGCATACCAATCATCTTCGAGACGGCCTAGAGCAGCAGCAGCGAGATAAGATGCTGGAAGAACAACTCGAAGAACCTCTGCCAGGTTATCCCTTTTATTGGTAAAACAATACTAGTGTCTCTTATTATCAAGCTGCGCTAACCTTCTCAGGCTGGATCCGCAGTCCCAGGGGTGGGTTTATTCATACAATGCATTTGAGGAGGTGAGTCTCATTTTATCCCACAGGAATACAAATCCCAAACTGACGCTGTGTATGGCAAGGCCGAGATGGCTTGGCAATCTTTCCTTGAGAACGATAAATCTATCGCGTAGGTAGCTCTTCGCCGCCGTCCTCTAGGCAGATGCCCTGGCTGGTCCTGATCGCACAAGGCGCCTTTAAATCCTCAATGAGGGTGGTTGCGTCTTGACCACAACGGCGACTCCGCAAGCATTCCACATTTCACCAAGTGTTTTGACCGCGAGATAATCAAGATAGGTTATTATATATTTTAGTTTTAAGTGGTTCGAAATTTATCCTGGTCCTCCGCATTCAAGATATCCACCCAATTTTCGAACGAGCGCGAATGCATCTCTGAGTCCGCAAAATAGGACCACATATCGTTATTGATGGGGAGGTCCAAATCATAACTCTCTGGCATAATCTCTAGACGCGTTGCTCCCGCGGGTGTATCAAAGGTTGACCACGAATCTTCTGAATCGACCTTCCTAACGTCTTGTTGCCTCTTCCAACGTTCAATTATCTGGGTTACTATCTCAGCGCACCGTTTAGCAGCTCTGAGATTAATTTGCCTAAAGACGCTGACGCTCAGCTGGCATACTGTGACAATTTCCTTAGTTTCCTCGCCCGCAGGCTCGTCGATGACTTTCATCAAAAGTACCAATGTGGCTTGTAGGCAATAATAGCAGTAATATCTCCATTGCCTTAGGCAAGGCGCGGCCTCAAACAAGCCATGCACATGCAGAATGATAGCACGTGCAGCTTGTATGGAAGTGGACCGAGAGTTATTGACTAGGTCGCTAGCCGCCGAGGGGTCTGATTTTGTGGAAGGAACCCGATGCAGGATGATAAGAGCGAGATTGTAGTCTGATGTTCCGTTAGACATCTTTCAATAAACCGGGATGCTCCTGCAGTAAGCATTGTCACTCACGGACAAGAAGACTGCTTCGCTGGCGACAGATCCAGCTATTAGCAATATCAGGCTCTCGACGAAAATCTTCATCTTCGAAGAGGAGCAGGGTGGGGAGCGATTGCCGCCATTGGTTCAACCGATCGTCAAATAACGGGATCTGGCTGACGAACGACCTCTTGGTGCCAGTAGCGCCGCCACATCTCGAAACCTACGATATATTGACAATGGTCAATACTTCATCACATCATCGACTACAGTAATTGATTACTCACAAACTTCAAAATAGCACGGGTGATCTGAGCGATTCCCGCAAGGGTTCTTATGAACTCAGCCATCGGTTGGTGTAGCTGATTTGAATCTGACTAGCATCAGGACGTTAGTTTGCTTGCCACGGAAGAGGGAGGTTGAATAATTACAGTCGTGCCAACTTCACCGTAGTCCTTCGGAAGGTCGACTACAATGTCACTTTTGGTGATGGACATTGGCCGGCCGGAGTCCACGCTCAACTCCACTTCTTGGATATAGATCATCCACCACGTGCGCCGTCCTTCTTCAGCGTCCCAGCCGTGTGATGTGAGGTTGGAATCAACATTTAGGCCGATTGAAAATGCCATTCTAGTTGCGATCCCCGCCAGGTTATAGGCCACTGTAAAACGTCAGTTACGTATCCAATCACGGAGCCTGGGAATTGTACAGACAACTTGGTTTAAGAGCATGCTGTGCATACGCTCCCTACCTCAAAGTCAATTCAGGTCCAAAGAAGTTCAAAAAGAAGATCTTACCATGAACATTCCTGCTTGCACCAATTCTAAACTGACTGCATCAAACAAGCGACCGAGCAGCTCCTGTGCCTCGGAGAAATACCAAGAAGCCCAGGATGAGCTGTCATCATCGTCGGCATATAATGCACCCAGAGCAAGAACTGCGTATAGTAGGCACAGCGATTGTTGCTGAGCCTGGTTCTCTCGGGGCGGGGCAAATAGTAGATTCGAGCCGAATAGGTTGCTTAGGCGAGAGTACTTGGCTCGAAACCTTGGAATATCGAATATTGGGAAGTAGGTATGAATTGTGGCGAAGAAGTTTTCTGAATGCCGATCTGCGACATCCTCCTGGAGCGTCCGATATTGCCGGATGGCTACGTTGTGAGGCATGACGAGGTCGTACGAGTCTAGCATGTTGTGAAAGCCAAGTATATCGGTTTCGGTGGTCCAGTCTCCCATTTGCACTTGCCCATCGTCCTGAACGCGAGGCGATGGATCAACTTGGTCTGCACAAGGTTGCAGTCTCTTTGCTAGAGACCTGGCTATAACAAAACTGGAAGTTTCGCCTACAGGGATCGTTACCACATTGTTTAATCGGACGGGAAACAGCACGGGCAGATACCATAGTACTCGAAACAACCCGTTTGTGGATTCACCTTTGTGACAGAGGAGATTTTATGACCGTCCTTGATAAGCCCATGATTTCTTCCAGCGAAATCAGTGGCCTCGAGCGTTCGTGTTGTTTTCGTCCCTTCATTTACTCCAGAATCCTCAGGTTGCCTTTGTGTGATCTCTTCGACTCGACATAGCCGCGTGAGTATTTGATTCATGAAACTGGCAAATGATTAGGCGCGAATGGAAATATAACACAATCTTAGAAGACACGGGCGTACTTGGTCAGTTGAATATGGTCATCCTGTGTTGTAGATTTCAAACTGCACTCGTAGCCCTTCCTGCCGCAGCTTTCGCAAGGCCACTTTCCGCTGCACTGCAAGCTGTTAATTCTCATCCAGAGCGTGGATGCTATTTGCTTGATTGGATGGATAACGGACCTTTATGCGTTTTTCTCGACATTTTTGACAAGCCTCCGCGGCTTTCTTCCGAGTCGACTTTGGCAGCTCATTGCCTAGGCGACAAGGGAGAAGTGGCAGCTGGATTTTTTGGCGTTTCAAGGCTGGCTCATCACCGTTGCTGTCATTAATGCCTGTCATTTTTGGGTGGTAGGCTTTTGCGGGATTCTCACGGAAAGGCGCTGGATTTCCGGTTTAGAGAGATAGACGTTGAAGGCGCGGGGTGTACGCCATTGTTAATTTGTGCGTGCGGGGTGTGGGGTGTGGGGTGTGGGGTCCCCACAAGCCACTGGGCTATACGCTACACCAAAGAACCAAACCAAAGATTTCGAACCAAACTCCACTGGGAATTCCCCACCTGGTGTACGGCAGATTGGATGGTGAGTGCCGGGGTCTCCGCGGTCCAATCACGAATGGCCTTGCGGTGAACAATATATTGCGCTGGGATTCTCATCAGGAACAGATCATAACTTCCATTTTGCATCAGCTCCAAAATTCTGCTTCAGTTAGTAAACAAAAATGCCTTTCCTGCTTCTCGCTGCTGTTTCCCTTTTGGCTGTTCTGCTTTACAACGCAGTAGCAGTTCGAAAACACCAGAAATTGCCGCCTGGCTGCAAGCCCATTCCGGGCCCGCCTGGTTTACCTTTGCTCGGAAATCTACACCAGATCCCTAACGACTATCCCTGGCGCAAATTTAAGGAATGGTCGGACATACATGGGCCAATTATGGAAGTGAAACTTGGCAAGGGAAGCTTGATTGTGTTGTCGAACAACGACACGGCCAAGGAACTCTTGGAGCGGCGCGGTCAAAAGCAAGTGGAAATTTGACTAGTGACTGGAGAACCTATTTTCTAACAGCCGTAGTTATTCTTCACGGCCGCAGACTTACATGGCATGCGAGGTTCTATCCGGCAATCTTCGCCCCCTTTTGATGCCTTACGGAGGTGGGTTCCTCGCCCGTCATCTTTGAGGTCGCTTTTGCTGAGGATAATTTCTTTCAAAGACCGTTGGAGAAGAGTTCGGAAGTTTATCCACCAGATGACAATGCCTGCGAAAGCATTGAGCTACCAACCACGACAGGATCGCGAATCGCGTAAACTGTTATACGATCTGTTGCAGGAGCCTGAAGACTTCGCACGTCATTATTATCGCTACGCGAGCGGACTTGTCATGGGTCTCACATACGACATGCCGGTTATAACAGGCAAGGAAGAATATATTAAGAATATTGTTCAAGTCAATGACACCCTTGAACAGTAAGTTTACTCGCCAATAAAGGTCCAAGGATCACAATATAAGTGTCCATTCTAACTGCTGACTCGTTGAGCAAACATAGTACTGCAAAGCCGGGAGCATTCCTTGTGGATTCTATTCCTGTATTGAAATTCATGCCTTCATTTATGGCACCATTCAAGCGTCTAGGCAAGGCTGCCCACGAATTCGAGTATGCCCTTTTCACGAATCTTTTGCAAGACATTAAGAATAAGCTGAACCGTGGCTCATCCGTTGGTGACTGCTTTGCCAAAGATTTTCTTAAGAAGGGGGAGAAAAAGGACCTGACCGACGACGAAGGTGCATATGCCTGCGGCACCATGTTCGAGGCTGGTAGCGGCACAACGTCTGGCGCTCTCGAAATCCTAACAATGGCACTCCTTCTATTCCCCGAAGTTCAAGTTAAGGCACAGAAGGAATTGGATGATATTTGTGGAGACCGTCTGCCGCAGTTTGAAGACGAACGGGACCTTCCGTACATCAAGGCTGTCGCGAAAGAGGCCCTCAGATGGCGCCCGATTGTAACGCAAGGCATATTGCACATGTCCGTAAAGGACGACCGCTATGGTGACTACTTTATCCCGGCTAATACTCCTATAGTTGGAAACCACTGGTGAGTCTTTCTTGCAACTCTGTCAGCCCACTCCAGAATAGGAAGCTGACATCAATATTACTCTTATGTAGGGCAATTCACATGGATCCTGATATGTATCCTGAGCCGGACAGATTCAATCCTGGACGCTTTATCGACCCATCATTCCCAACTGCTCAATCAACAGACGGGGTGGAGTACGGTGCGAGTCGCGGACACTGGGCCTTTGGCTTCGGGCGCCGAGCTTGTCCAGGTCAGCATATAGGCGAATACAGCCTGTTCATTCTGACAGCTCGGCTACTGTGGGCTTTCAATTTCAGGAAATACGTGACTCCAGACGGACATGTACAAGAGCCTGATCCTTTGGCATTTACAACTGGTCAGTAGAAAAAACTCTCTGTGTCGTCCGCCATCTTCTTCCTCTTGAGTATGGCATTTTGTTAACGGGGCTAAGTTATATTTTTTTTCTACCAGGTTTCAATTCCAAACCAAAAGACTTTCCCGCAACGATTGTGCCAAGGAGCGAAGTTCGCGCCGAGGCGGTCAGGGAAGCATATCTCAGTCAGTGGGGAAAGCCAGACACCGAAGGTGAACCAGTTAGTCGTGGCTGACGGAGAGGCATGGAACGCTGTGGGTCTGGTACGCCGTTGACTACGAGCCCGGAATGGGCGCTGCCTTATGTTGGATATCGAGTGCCAGTGCAATTTTGAATGTGGCATTAAAAATACACAGAAACTTTCAGTCCAGTCTCGCCCACAGTCTCGCATAGCCAGTCCACTCGCTGAAAGAAATGACCGTAAAATAGATGCTGGTGTAATATGAGGCTTGCTCGACTGGAAGCAAAGGTTCAACATCGGAATCAATTCCACAATTATGTACGTGGTACGTGGTCATACGTGTCAGGGAACACGTTACTGTTCCGCCGTCCCCTGATATGCGCGTCGTGTACCACATCAGTTCCTTGAAATGATCATGTTGAGTGTTGATGCTCAAAGATTTCTCTCCTGGTGGTAACTCAGTCACTAGCCCTGGTAAAGTAAAAATGATATAAATTAGCACAAAGGTCTCCTCTTTGTGAGCGAACTTGCCGCCTGTAGCATAAACTGCTTGATATCACTAGATTTCGAAAATCTCCGACAACCTTGCTCTTTTGTATGCTTTAACATATCCGAAGTTCCATTTCCCATCTCAGGGTGGTCAAGGACTGCCTTGGATCGCTTGCTCATAACTCTAGGCAGCCCATCTTCAGCCTTAGCCACCTGGCCAAAGGACTTCCAAACATCAGCCTGGTGGCGGGCATCCCATGGCCGATGGGGCTGATTTCATTGCTGGAACAGTGGGGTCGGATTTCAATCTAATGGGGGGCCCAAGATTTCAGTCCGAAGAGTTTGAAGCCAGGGATATGAAAAGGGGGAGCTATTCCGAAGCTCTTTCTATAGACTAGCAGAACGAGAACGCTCATAGGCACTTGTTATTTAAACTGCCACCGATATTCCATCAATTTTGCGACAGTAAGCCATATTTGGGTTCGATGCCGGGGACACAGTTTTGTTGATTTTTTTTTTGGTTTTGATCTCGCTAGGGAACAACTGAAGACGACCGAAAGGAGCAATAGCTCAAAATGCTACAAGTTGGAGACATTATAGTTCTTTCAATTTTGCTGTCTGGCATTATCTCTTTTACCAAGGAAAAGCTTTTGCCTAAGAAGAGTGAGAGTCACAATTCTGTGGGAGGTGAAAATTTTTCAGAAACAAATCCAAGGGATATCCTCTCAGAAATGAGGAAAGCCGATAAGAATTGTGTCGTGTTCTATGGATCCCAGACTGGCACCGCGGAAGGCTATGCCGCTAGATTAGCCAAAGAAGGCAGCATGCGCTTTGGGCTGAAAGCAATGACTGCAGATTTGACTGATTATGATCTCAACAATCTCGATCAATTTCCTCCTGATAAGATCGTCGTCTTCGTCATGGCTACATACGGCGAAGGTGAGCCTACCGACAGCGCTGCCGAATTCTGGGCCTTCCTCAACTCCGACCCTCCCAATTTCTCCGAGTCTTCCACTCAATTTCCTTTGAAGAATATCAAGTATTGAAATGGGAACGGCTCGATGGCTGTCTGGCGATGCAGACTGGACAACACACACACACACACTGCCTGCCTGGTGTAGAGGACGCTGGATGAGGCCGTACTGATGCCCTGTTGCGGCCGTACGGGATAATCTTAATGCTGCATTATGAATAGAAGAAATTAGGTGAATCCTGAATAAATTAGGTAGATAACTTGTCTATCTCTAAGTGTGTCTTAAAGATACACTATGCACTACAGACATTAAATTATGCCTAAGGCCACACATAGGCTATTATGTCACCGGTTCTCCCACTATATATATAAAGGAATACCAAGGACTAGCGGTGAAGGTCTACCCCGCAGTGTAATAAGTAAGACTCCGGCCCGATTCATATTTAAATCGAGGGGGTTTCCAGATAAGTTAGACTTAGCAAGAATCAGTCTTGCTTCTTATAATACTATACCCTAGTTTAGATATCCTTTCTTATCTAACCGACAGGCTTTCTACCCTAAACACATAGATTCTTTATAATTCTGATTCTTCTTTTATCGATTACCTAAGGAATTATATCTATTAATGACTGTGTCCTCCGCTCTCGCGTTACTACCGAAGGTAACGATACGCCTATATCGCCCGAGGCTATCGCTACGTTCTAGCGTAGAGACGCTACCGAATTAACCCCGAAACAAAACTGACCTAAGTCGATCTCTCCTAATCCGCTATAACACGAATCACTTCTAGGTAGACCTGGCACTCACCCGCCCCGCGGGTCCAAGATCAGGAACCTCCACCCGCACCTCCGAGGGTCAGGGTCTAACCTCACCGACCCTGACCCTGACCCTGACCCTCCGAGGGTCCCTTGAGGGTCACCCACGGAGGGTCCGACTTACCCGCATAAGCCACGCTTTACCTATTTAGGACACGCTTTACTCTTTTAGATGCGCTGACTAAGCGAATTGACACCTAAAAGTTAGTTTTCTGCCTAAAAAGTGACTTTTTTGCTAAATTTAGTCACGTGTGGGTCCTAAGGGTGACCCTGAGGGTCACCCTCGGAGGGTCGAACATAGAGATACCCGACCCTCAGGGTCTAGAAGTCGGACCCTCCACCCGCCAAGATGAGGTGCGGGTGGAGGGTCCGGGAGGGTCACCCGCGGGTGAGGGCCAGGTCTACCAAAGACCATGGTCGAAGTCCGCGGGCAAGGCATGCCCGAAGGCACCCCCGAAGGAACGGACCATTTATGCCTGAAGGCGGACTATTTACCCCTGAAGGAAAATGGTCCCGCCTATCGTTTGGGGGAGGGCCGCGGACCAGAATCAGAAGTGGTCAAAATATCATTTTGATAGAAGGCCCCAAATTGGTCACGTGATCAATACAATCTGGTCTTATATGTTGAATATAAGGATAGATCTTTCTATTGAGATCTCACACGCTGGTGCTCGCGCTTAACCCATAGGCTAAAAGCCATAACGAGATCTCTCGGTACCGAGAGATCCGTTGCACCAGTATATATATTAGGTAACCACCTTCTGTGATCACACTAGTATCGTTAAGGCTATATAGGCGCTTCGTCTAAATCCGAAGCAGAACTTATTATCCGTAACTCTAGATACGCGGCTTATAGTAAATAGTATATATAAAGGAAAACCGGCCTCTATAAGAGGCTAGCACAGAAAAGAGTATCAGAATATCTATATCCTACGTATAATCGAGCCTATATAAAAGTTAAACCCAAAAGATAATACCTATAGTCTTCTACTTCTTCTGTGTCCCCTCGTCCCCGCTATATACTCCGCCTCTCTAGTGTTAGTTCTCTATTCCCCTTATAAGGAAGAATACTAAGTGCTTCGGTTCTTAGTTAATTATAGTGCGTAGTGAATTAATAATTATTTTGGTAGCCTAACTATTCTCGGTAGCCTAGTCTTATCGTTCAGTAATATATATATAGCGTCTTTATAACCTTCCTATAGCCGCAAGGCCAATTTATTTATGGTCTATTTAATATATTATCGTAATAGCGTAGCGGGCCGCGGGCGGGTAGGACACAATAATATTGTAGTTTATAGTGTTACTAAGGTCGGTACGAGCGACCTTATTAAGTATGATTCTTCGCAGATCACTATATAGCGGGTATTAGAGTAAGATATATCTCGGCGTTTAAGATCCTTACTTATAATAATAGTGGTCTAATTCCCTTTCTTTAATTTCGTATAAGAAGTGACCTAGTCTAATACGTATCGACCTTATTTAGATAAGGATAGATATATATAGCTTCGATAGCCTCTTATATAGCTCTAAGACCTTCCGCGTCGGCGCCTTAATAAGGCACTTTATCGGCTGGCCTATCTTCTCTCTCTCCTATTATTTTTTCTATCTCTCCTTAATACGCTTATAGGTGTTACGCTTCGCCGCGGAGGCTAGGCGGACAAAGTGTTTCTCCGAACCCGCACCCGCACGATACTAGTAGTTTTTGAACCCTACCGACGCGATATATAGCGGAGATAGGGTTCGAGAAAATAAGGCTCCTAATTACTATTTATTAAATTCTATATTAAGGCGATAAAGATAAAATATAAGGAATAGTAATCGAAAAAAAGGGAGATAGGCATAATAAGAAATATATAGGGTCGGGTTAGTCCAAAATATATATTATGGTCGGGTTAGGTCGGGTTAGTCCAAAATACATAGGGTCGGGTTGGTCCAAAATGTACCGGGTCGGGTTGGTCCAAAATGCACCGGGTCGGGTTAGTCCGAAATGCATAGGGTCGGGTTGGTCCAAAATGCAGGTCTGACCTTGTGCATTTTCGACTAAGCCGATCCTATGCATTTCAGACCATACCCCCTTTTGGGAATTTCGGACCAAACGCTAACCTCTTTCGGAATTTTGGACTATCTATACCCGCTTAAGGAGAGCAACTTTAATCCCCCCTATAAAATTCAATAAAATAGATAAAAATATTTTGATTTAATATATAATATCTGAAGCACTTTTACTTGTAGGGAAAAATATAATATAACGTGGTCGGTAAGCGAGTGGCGCATGTAAGCGAGCGGCGCACCCGCCCACTTTTTCTCTATATCTTGACACTTTTATCGACCACAACGCCTTTATATTGATTAATCTCTAGCTTTACATGTATTCCTCTTATGTCCGATCTGTCCGCAATTAGTACATTGGGGTGGACGCCGCGTCTTCGGTGCTGGTGTGTCCTGCGGTAGTAGGCTTGGTGGAGCTAGAATTGCCTGAGAGGGCTCCTCATGAGCTTCCTCGAGCTCTAATGCTTCTCGTACGGATAGACCGTCATCGTGGGCTATCCATCT